TTAGGTTTGTTTTCGATTTAGATTCCAAATGTATTTTGATTTTTGTTTAGAGAGAGGCCAGCTTGATAGAGTTGATTTTTATTTTTGGAATTAATTTTTTATTATTTGTTTTTTAATCAATTTGAAAGAGGGTTGACAGTGTGTTGATCGCGTAGATTTTTGAGTTGAGTTGAATTAGGTTTGTTTTCGATTTAGATTCCAAATGTATTTTGATTTTTGTTTAGAGAGAGGCCAGCTTGATAGAGTTGATTTTTATTTTTGGAATTAATTTTTTATTATTTGTTTTTTAATCAATTTGAAAGAGGGTTGACAGTGTGTTGATCGCGTAGATTTTTGAGTTGAGTTGAATTAGGTTTGTTTTCGATTTAGATTCCAAATGTATTTTGATTTTTGTTTAGAGAGAGGCCAGCTTGATAGAGTTGATTTTTATTTTTGGAATTAATTTTTTATTATTTGTTTTTTAATCAATTTGAAAGAGGGTTGACAGTGTGTTGATCGCGTAGATTTTTGAGTTGAGTTGAATTAGGTTTGTTTTCGATTTAGATTCCAAATGTATTTTGATTTTTGTTTAGAGAGAGGCCAGCTTGATAGAGTTGATTTTTATTTTTGGAATTAATTTTTTATTATTTGTTTTTTAATCAATTTGAAAGAGGGTTGACAGTGTGTTGATCGCGTAGATTTTTGAGTTGAGTTGAATTAGGTTTGTTTTCGATTTAGATTCCAAATGTATTTTGATTTTTGTTTAGAGAGAGGCCAGCTTGATAGAGTTGATTTTTATTTTTGGAATTAATTTTTTATTATTTGTTTTTTAATCAATTTGAAAGAGGGTTGACAGTGTGTTGATCGCGTAGATTTTTGAGTTGAGTTGAATTAGGTTTGTTTTCGATTTAGATTCCAAATGTATTTTGATTTTTGTTTAGAGAGAGGCCAGCTTGATAGAGTTGATTTTTATTTTTGGAATTAATTTTTTATTATTTGTTTTTTAATCAATTTGAAAGAGGGTTGACAGTGTGTTGATCGCGTAGATTTTTGAGTTGAGTTGAATTAGGTTTGTTTTCGATTTAGATTCCAAATGTATTTTGATTTTTGTTTAGAGAGAGGCCAGCTTGATAGAGTTGATTTTTATTTTTGGAATTAATTTTTTATTATTTGTTTTTTAATCAATTTGAAAGAGGGTTGACAGTGTGTTGATCGCGTAGATTTTTGAGTTGAGTTGAATTAGGTTTGTTTTCGATTTAGATTCCAAATGTATTTTGATTTTTGTTTAGAGAGAGGCCAGCTTGATAGAGTTGATTTTTATTTTTGGAATTAATTTTTTATTATTTGTTTTTTAATCAATTTGAAAGAGGGAGGATGTCTAGCCAGACGTCCGGCCGGTCGTCCGGTAGGACCCACCTCCAACGTAAACGCAAAGTATTTTGGTGAAATCTGTCCAGCTCCTCAATTTGGTAAAATTTTTGGTCGATTCTCATTTTGATATCAGTTTGATGAAATTATTGGAGTCAAAAAAGTTGTTTGTTTTTACCAAATTCAAATTTGATGATGGTTTTACTTAACCGTTGGAGATAGTCTTAGGGCACAAAATCTTTAAAAGGAGACAAAATGAAGTTTCTAGTTGACATTTTATTCACTTTCTAACCATTAAGGGTAAATTTGCAAATGATGCTCAAAGCATATCACTGATTTTATTTGATTCTAAAGTTTTGATTTGTTTCAATTACATTCTTAAAGTTTTACATATTAATTTAATTTTATCTCTTTCTTTGGATTTGTTTCAATTACATTCTTAAAGTTTTACATATTAATTTAATGTTATCTTTTTCTTTTTAATTGTTGTTTAAACAATAGAGTTAAATAATAATTATATTACATTTTAATGCATTTATTCATGTATTAGTAAAAATTATGTTAACTCTCAATTGACAAGAATTAAATAATAATTTTAATTAAACAATTAAACAAGAGTAATTAAACAAGTGTGTTTTTGTTTCAAATGTCCTAAAAGTAAAAGGACTTCTTTGAAATAAAAATTACAATTAGTAAGATCAAATAAAGTAAACAAGGCAAATTAAAGATGATTTCAAGATGAAACCACCAATATTTACAAATATTACAAATTACTGAGAAAAAAAACTACTCATAAGTTAAGATAAAATTATTTCTAAAATAAAACTAAGCTGTTGTGTTGTTGATGTTCTCCTTTCTCTAGCAATTCCTACCTTTTATATGTTTCCATTTTTCTCTGGACCATGATTGCATGTTTTCCCTGATTTTTGCAACTACCACTGCTTAACTGTTGCAACCGCTCCTTCATATTCAAACCCTCAAACTTCACCAAATCTTCATCTCTACCTGTCGAACCACTTTCCCTTTATGATGCATGTCCCTCAACACTTTGGACCTCTGATCGACAAAGCCAAGTCCTTATTATGTACTTGCTTACTTTTGCAATAATCCACTAACTCCATGACTTAGCCTGGTAACTGCTTCACCATTTGGACCATCAAAAGTACACAATCAACCGCTCTAATGATACTGGTTCCTTTAATTGATGAAGGACTTACACTTTGACTTTGCCATATGTCATCATGTGGTTGATCCACCTGTCAACAGGAATTTAACGAAAATGGTGCAAACAATGCCCCTATAACTCTTTAAGAATAAGACATACTCAAATTCTTGATGAATTATAAAATTTAAACCTTTCCACTTGTGAAAATTCCAAATTTTTTATTTTTATTTTTAATTTTTTTATGATCGATAGTAGCTTGACTTTGAATATTTGAAGCCCAATAAAAAAAACATTCCAACAGTGGAAGTTTTATTATGATTCCTTCTTTGTATAATATCGCTAAACATATTTTTTTAAGAACATTGGTTCATCAACTATTTTATTAAAACCAAGTTTTGATGTGATCCACATATCCAAAAGAAAATTTGAATAACAAAAGCCATATATGACCTTAAAAACTCATACATATTGACATCTTGAACAATGTCCAAAATTTCAAATTCATGAACATTTGATTATTCATAATTTTCAGCCATAGTTGGCTTAAAATAACACATTTTAAGCACATTGTTTGCATCACTCTTTGAACCATGAGTTGCAACAAAGGATTGATTTTTTCTTTCACAAATGGGTTAGAAACATTTTTTGAAAACTCTGAAAATATTTCTTCCTTGTGAAATTGTCCCCCTGCCATGGATTTTTTTATTCTCATGGGCTTTTGTTTTTTCACTTATAACAATTGATGAATTAACTTTTTAATCATTCACAACTTTTAAAGGCGTGGAAAGAACAATTGAAAAGCCACAAATTTTGGCTTCTATAACAAATTGGTCAATTTTATCATCAAGTTAACCAATCACTTTATCAAAACAATTTCGTGTTTTTAATATCAAATAATATGACAATGGTGATATTGTTTGAAATTTTTCCAATCAAGATAATCAATTTTTTCCTGTAATTATAAAATTTCATTCTCACGCCAACACATTTCTTCTTTACAAAACCAAATCATTTCATCTATTTTGCTCGACACATCATTCCATGGAAATTCACTTATTGGAACATCATGTGACTGTATTTCGCAAGATAGGTCTTATCATCATTCCAAATTAGGAAGATGTCCCACCAGACGTGTCAAAAATTATTAGTAAAAATTATGCTAATTTCCAATCGACAAGAATTAAACAACAATTTTAACTAAACAATCAAACAAGAGTAATTAAGCGATTGTGTTTTTGATTCAAATGCCTTGAAAGTATAAGGACTTATTTGAAACAAAAATTACAATCAGTAGATCAAACAAAATAAAGAAGAGAAACTAAAGATTATTTCAAGATGAAACCACCAATGTTTACAAAGGTTACAAATTACAGGAAAAAAAAAAAAAACTACTCCTAAGTTAAGACAAAACTACATATAAGATAAAACTAAGTTGTTATTGTGTTGTTGATGTTCCCATCTCTCTAGCAATTCTTGACTTCTATATCTTCTCATCTTTCTCTGGCTCATAATTGCATGTTTCCCCTGATTTTTGCAACTACGACTGCTTAACTGTTGCAAGTGCTCCCTCATTTCTAAGCCCTCAAACTTCACCAAATCTTTATCTTTACCTATCGAACCACTTTCCCTTCATGATGCCATGCGTCCCTCAACACTTTGGACCTCTGATCAACAGAGCCAAGTCTTTATTATGTACTTACTCACTTCTGCAATAGCTCGCTAAGTCCATGACTTAGCCTGGTAACTACTTCGCTATCTAAGCAATCAAAAGCACATGATCAACCCATCTGATGCCACTTGTTCCTTTAACTGATAAAGGATTTTCACTTTGATTTTGTCACATGTCACCATCTAGTTGCCCCACCTGTCTTAATGAAAATGGGTGCAAACATCATGTCAAATATTATAAATCAAATAGCCAAAAAACACATGTATTATGCACTTAATAATTAAGTGAAAGGTTTTGATGTGTTTTGTTTTGTAAACAATGTGCATTTCATCTCTCCCTTCAAGTGACTGATATGAGATATAAGTATTTTTTTAAATGTTTTTCAGGAAATAAAATTGAATGAACATATGAAGGTTGGATATACATGTGGTATAAACTAAAAATTAGTGACCAAAATGAAATCTATCATTATACTTAAGCATACTACGTGCCACCAATACAATTTTGGTGTTCAAATAATTGTTTTCACGATTAGATGAATAATTGAATCAAATTTATTCTAAATGTACAATGCAATATTGTGGTCCAAACATTCTTGGATGAATGTGTTTGACCACATCCAAAATAAACCTAGTTTATACATTCATCAAGTTGTATACAATTCTTAGCCGTCAATGAAATTTAAGTCCAAATACTCAATTTAAAACAAAAGTCAACATAACCAAACATAAAAACAAAAATAAAAGATTATAAAGATCATACATACAAAAGAAGGTTTTGTTACCAAATTATTTGCATATTAACTCTTACACATACAACAATAAGAATTCTACCGATATATAATCAATCACACAATATACAAGTCAAGCAACATGAGCAAAGCGTTCAACCTTTTTATCTCCTGTGTAACACTATTACTTATCATATATAGTCAGTTCTATGGCCGTAGAATTATCGAACGATACATTTTTAGGGCAACAATGGTTTATGAGCAACCTTCTTCACAAAGACCTTCCTCTTGAATTTGATCCCAAAGGGCGTCACCTCCCTATCACACAAGTCCGAGCCATGCCACACATGCCTAGGCAAATACCGGCGAAAATAGAAATAATTTGAGCTCAAGTGGGAATTGCCCTCGAGCACCCGGACTTGAGCGAAACCGGGCCGCCAGTCGTCGTCACCGGTCAATTTGAGGTATAAGTAGCAAATGGGTGATTCCACACACTGGGCTGTGATCTGGAATTGGTTTACCATGCAAGCTTGGAATGGTTTTCTCGGCACGTCATCGAGGACTTGTGGCTCCAATGGATCTAACCATCTCACATGCTTGGAATTGAGGTGTTTTACTAAGATGTCGTTTGAATTTGTGTCACCAAATCTTAGGCTGACATGGTTTGAGGTCTCAGCACCCTTTGTACATGTTGTTTCTATTGTTACTGCATAGGTACAATTTTCCTACAATGTTAAAGAATGAAACAATTTATTAGACAATCTGTGATAGTCTCAAAGCTGATGATTGGTTGGACTAAATGTTTTTGTTTCATGAAGCCTCCCTACCAAGATTGGGCCTGTTTGGGCTAAAAACTCACAATTTTTTCATTTTTGAAAACTGTTTCCATTCGAAAAAACAGAAAAAGAAGAAATCTGATATGAAAAAATCATTTGACAAACTGTCTGAAAATGCCCAATTATAAATTGTTTTTTGATTTCTCAAAAAACGATTTTCATGTGAAAATGAAAATTATGGAGTTTTTGAGTGCCTTTGTTTTATAAAATTACTAAAACAAAACAATGCCAAACAAGATAGCAAATAATGAATTAGAACACTACCATAAATGTCAAGACAATAGCTCAAACCCAGACTATAAATAAAACAAAAAGGCCGAGAAAATAAAGAAATATACTACTTTCAATAAAAATAAAAAAGCCTCTGTCCTCATTTGATTTTGTAATTATATGAACCATGAAACAAAATTTTCTTAAATTTGATACCATGGCTTTATCTGTCGTATTGCTCTGTTTTCAATCACTTTCAATCGTACGACAGCACAAAAAATAATAATAATAAATAAATTTTAAGGACAGAGAATCACGTGCCAGAGACTCATGCCGTTCAATACCTTCTTTTCCAGCAAGAGACTTTTATCTAAAGCAATTACGGATGCAAAAGCAAGAAATAGAACACAGAGTGAAAAGATAGATCTTCTGCAATCGATCATCCTTATTGATAGCTAAAGCTCATATCCTAAGAAAATAAGCTCTTGCAAGTTCCAGTTAGACACTTCAATCCTTGCAATTTATACTCTGTTTTTTCAATCTTTAATTGGTTCCTTCGCACACTTGAAAAGCTCATATTCTCAAGCTTTTCAGCCGCAATTTATTTGTTTATTTTTTTGGGCTGGTTGCTTGGATTTTACTCCTACTTGTCACTTTAATAGGTCTAATTTTCTTTTAATTTGGTTAAAAAAAACCTTTCTTTTTTTTCTTTTTTTCTTTTTTTCTTTTTTTTTTGCCTGTAAGCATTTTAATCTTTTATTAGCTCTCATTGCTAAAGCTATATAGATTGATATTTGCTTCTCCTTTTTGATGAAACCCCTCCTAGTGGTTTTATCTTTAACTAGAAAGATTACAACAAAAGAAAAGAACAAGAGGCAATACATATCATATTATGTACAATGAAGATGAATCGATCACAATCAAAATAAACATAAAAAATAAATAAATAAATAAAACATAGTCGTTATTTTTAGAAGGACAAAAAACTCGTTAGTCATTCTTTCAATTTGATATTTCCGTTCAAATTGGATTTTAAAAGTAAACAATTTTGTAATGTATGTTAGTTACCTAAGGTGTACATGTAGAAAAAAGTGAAGGTAATTTGGATAGAATGACCAAATTAAAACTGGACTTAAAGTGTAGAGTCAAATTGTTCTACTTAAAACAACAAAAAACAAAGTGAAATTTGAGTCCAACTATAGGGGGTGAAAAATGTAATTTATCCAAGGAATATTTCAAATTGAAACAAAAGGGAACAAAGTGAAATTCGGGTAAAATTATAAGGGTGAAATGTGTAATTTACCCAAGGAAAAATGAAAGCGAAATCTTGGAAGGAGTCCTTGTTAAAAATAATCAATAAAGATAAATAATATTTTGTCAAGTATCCTGATAAAAATTAAATAAATAATATATAACAATTCCCAAAATCTTACCATATACCCTAGTAATATAAAATGATGGGCAAACCTATATATCGGGGTATAAATGGTTCAGTTTGGTTGGTGTTAAGAATATATTTAGCACCAAACTGATTTTTTTGATTTTTATAATTGAGAAACCGATACAGACCGTATGCTATAGTTCAATTTGATTGATTTGATGTAGAAGATAAATTTACATGAAATTTTAAAATATTTTATAGTAGATTATAGAATTTACATTGAAAATAAATGAAGAAAATATATGAAAATTGCTCTATAAATATTTTCCACCCTAATTTTTATCATAAAAACGTATTATCTTAGTTACTTCTCATATAATGTTCAAAAAACTATAATATAAAAATATTTAAATATGATATTTGGTCAGTTTGGTTTGCATTAGTGTAAAAGGTTTCAAAACCGAAACAGATCGTATGTTATGAAAAATGAAAAATAGACCGAAAACTAAAATTTCGATCGGTTTTGATCGGTCGACTCAGTTTTATCAGTTTTTCTTATATTCTTACCAATATACAATATTTCTTTTCTTTCCTTTTTTGGAAAGCCAATGAAGTGAAACTCTGAATCCTAACTCAGGATCTCTGTTAGGGTGAATAATAGTGAACATCAAATTGTGATTTTCAGCCATCAGGAGGGGAATAAAAGAGAATAGGGGAATGAAAAACTATATTACATGGTATAGCAGAATTCAAACCCGAACATCACATTCAATAATGCTGTGTTTGGTTGGGAGATTTGGAGGGATTTGGAAAGAGAAAGAGAAAAGGTGTGTGAAACTAAGTGAAATGTAGGTATATTTTATTCACATTTCACCTCACTTTTCCCTTTCCCTTTCCAAATCCCTCTTCAAATCCTCCAACCAAACACAGTGTAAGGGATTGTCTCATTCACCAAAACCAAGACGAGTTACCAAGAAGGATACATCTTAAAGTAAAGCCAATAATCGGGAGAGGTAGGGTGGTCTGAAACTTCCATATAGAAATAAGAGACTAATAGGAATTTTTCTGTTAAAGTCTTTTTGCAAGCAAGTTGAAAGGAAAATGGGAATGGAAAAGAGTTTTAGGAGAGTAATTTGGAAAAAATGTATCTTCAAAAACACAACTGTTTTGTCGGTAATATATCACTTATGGAAAGGATTACCACAAGAGAGGAGTTACTGAAAAGAAAGATTACCCCAAGTGACTCAAAACTTGAGTTGTGCTTTCTTGCCAACTATTTTCTGTTTACTTCTTTCTTGTTGTGCATCTGGTTGGTTGGAGTGCTTGTAACCTTTTGGGGTTTTGTTCTGCTCCTCGAAGGGTGTAATTACCTTTGTCGTAAGTCTATTTTAATACATTGATCTTTTGCTAATAAAAAATAAAAAATAAATAAAAAAAGGCACGACACTAGGTGCACATGACAACTTTGGCAAGTTGTAGGTGCATGCCTGCCGGGTGACTAGGCCAAAATTTGACTTGGCTTTGGACAGTTGATCTAAGTGAGGTGACGAAATGACAATGTGCGTTTATGTAGTGTTCAAGGACTAGGGCTTAAATTTGACTGGTCTTTTGGCTCTTCATTACATTGTTTTAGTGGAGTTCAAATCATGTACTCCAAGAGAAACTATATGAAAAATGTGCCATATATTGTTAATTACTGGTTCACCATATTAACATATAAAACTATAAGTATACAATATTTATTTTCTTATTTTTAGTATAGGCAATAAAAGGTAAAGTCTGCAACCTAGCTAGCATCTCTGTTAGGGTAAATAATGAACATCAAATTGTAAAAATAAAAATAAAACAATTCTTAGTCATCCGTACGAGGAGAATAGAAAAAAGAGGGAACATTACATGCAACACTAAAACTTAAACACCAACATTGGGTTTTGCTATTTGCACATACATTAAATAAATTTTTTATTACCATTTTACCCTTAAGCACAATTACCATTCAAAAAAATTACAAAAAATCCAAAAAAAAAAAAAAAGAAAAATGTTTGGGAGCACTAGGGGAGCACTAATGATATGGCAGTAGGCCCCGCCCACTTTCTATGCCTTGTTTTCTTTTTTTTTTCTTTTGTTTTTGTCATTCCCAATGCATTAGTGCTATTAGTGATGTATTTTTTAGCGGTCTAAATCATTGTTGAAAAAATAATTCTAAGTGCACCTACCTCCTCCACCACCACCACCACCCACAACCCCTCTTCCTTCCCTTAGCTGCCACCTCCCCTCCCCACAGCCCCCACCCCCATCTGCTACCTTAACCCCTCTTCTTCTCATCTTGTCACCCCTAGCCCCTCCCTCGCCATCCACACATTGCAGCCCCTCCCTATTTATGCCATCTCAACCCAAATGACCACCACCCAATTGCAAAAGCCTGTTTGCGGCAATTGTGGTCGTAAAAGAGAAGATAAGAAAAAGAGCGGGTGGAAATTTTGATATAGATTGTACTGATTTAAAAATAACTAAATAGATTGGAAATAGATTGTATAGATTGCAAAAACCTATCAGCACAATCTATATTCAAAAGATGCACAATATATTGGAAATTTTGATATAGATTTTACCGATTAAATTTAGTTATTTTTGAATTTAGGAAACGGATGTACTTAGAATGTGAAAATTATTAAACAATCCCCTAGAACCATGTGGTGTTACCTATGTAGTACTCCCAACAAATGAAAAAATGCAATCCATACTAAGGCCTCGTTTGGCAAGTGGTGGTTTTAGCTTGAAAGTCAAAAAATTACTAAAAAAATTAAAAAGTCTACAATTTTATCCTATAAACCTATGCACAGTGACAGTGTACTAACAGCAGTGTACTATCACAGTGTACTAGGCAGTAATGTCTTGATGCCTATTGTACTAAGCCACAGCCTACAATATGATTTGATATTTACAAATATATTATATTGTTTTATATGTTTTCAAACATATTATATTGTTTTATATGTACTAGGCAACAGCCGTGCAGCCTTGGCATTAGTCTGTCGTCTGCTGCATTTCTGTCAAATTACTCACTATTAATTATTTATATTATTTCTTTTCACATCTTTTTGTAAAAAGTCAAAAAGTTAATCTCAAACATATTAATTTTTTTTATATCGTATTTTAATCAAAATGCCAAAAAAATTACTAAAAAACATGTTCCCAAACGAGGCCTAAATAGGCCATCCCTATCTCCCAACTACCTAACAAAGATGAATTATCATGTCCTACTCGTAATATTTTCTATTTCGCCATTAATTTGAACCACCACGTAAACAGCATCACATAATATTCCGATAGTACCCAATGATTACTTCTTAGAATGTGGGTGAACTTGAAAGTTTAGTGAGTGCAAATAGCCCCGAACATTACACCCAAAAAAGGTGTATCTCATCTACTAGGCGAACACTTAAAAGACGGCAAGATATTTAGGAGTTTGAAGAGACGCATATCAGTTACACAGGATATATCTCAAGGAAAAAACCAATAATTGGGAAAAGGTAGGGTCTGAAACTTCCATGGGATGTCAGGTTCCGCTGATGAATCCAAGAGAATCGAGTTTGAGATGAAGAAGAGGACAACAAAATACAATACTAAGAGCCTAACGTCTTTTGAGTTATTGGGAAACACATTGCTTACTAAAATTGTGGGTTGGTGTTTTTTTAATAACAGTTATTCGTTGTCTTTTGTTGTCTGAAGAATCAATGGACCGATTCTGACTTGTCAGGATGTAGATGTAGTTGTTTTTTATTCATTTGTTGCATCTTTGACCTTTTCTTTCAGAATAAAAATGTCCTTTAAACATTGATTTTATTATTAAGGAATCAAATCATTTTACCACGAATTGAAAGCGAAGCGCGTGACTTGGATTCATCTTTTTGTCGTTGACTACGAACTGGAATCCGCACAAGCCGTTGCAAACAAAGAGCCAACTCATCTGACTGTACTTGATAATTTGGCTGTTGTTGCCTTGTAATCATCTTGTTTGTACTTGCCCTCTCGGCATGGAAGTGGCTTGAGGAATCCAACACCGGAAACTTTTTTTTACTACCAGGAGTCTAACACTGAAACTCAAGAGGCTTTCCATTTGAAATCTAACACTGAACCCCTGACCGGTTGGGC